CTTTTTAAGATAAAACTTGTTTATATATGTATATGTACAGCGTTTGCCAAATTATTGTTTAATTGCATTTCTTTTTTTTGTTTGTAAACTCCAGTTAATGATTAATCAGTCACTTAATTAATTGACAATTATTTCAACAATTGACTAATCATAATTGGATTAACCATTTCAGCTCTAGAATAATATGAGCGTTAAAAATTACCCATTTGTATTTTACACGTGACAATAACTTGGGGGAGAGACATTTTGCAAAGTTACAACCACTGCGACCATTAAAGTACGAAAGTTTCTGGTCGTGAATGTTGAAGAGATATGAATACTTTTACAACGCCCACTCCACGTTCTTTTTGCAGTGTGTTTCTGCAAAGGTAAAAACTGGTGCTTACACAGCTAACGTTGTGATTTATTTGCAGCACTGGCAGAGGTCTTGGGGTCAAAAGTGTGCCTCTCTAGGGACAAATACAACACCATGTGCTGCTTGGAGTCTCAGCAAATCAAGGAGCGCATAACCACCGACTGGAAGGCAGCCCGGGTTCACGTGCTTCCCATGATGCAGCTCTCCTTCAAAGTGGGTACAGCAGTCATTTTGATTTCCGTGGTCGCCGTAGCAAACATTAACCTTCATATTAAAGGTTGTGATGAGCAAAACATTGTCCCTAGTGAGATTTAAATTTGCAGTCCTGGAGTTTTCACACGACTGGCTGCAGAAAAGCCGACTAATGTCGGGTTGGGTTTTAAAATGTCTGCTATAAGGCAGAGCTGATGTTTGCAAAAATGCTGCATCCTGAGCCTTAAACATAAATCTTAAGGCATTCTAATGCACTTCTTTTTTTTTTTTTTTTTTTTATGTTGCCGTCTCTGCAGAAGCTGCAGGATCACCTGGCACGCTTTTCAGCTCAGTATGATCGACTGGTAGCCTTCAAGCCCACTGGCTGGACCTTCAGCGAGCAGGTGGAGTCGGTGGAAGACATCCAGCCACAGATCAGCGGCAACATCTCCATTTACGGTAAGTAGAAATACTTAACCGAACAGATTCAGGTTTAGATGTTATGGAAATGTTTGTTTTAATGCAGAGAGAGCAGGATGAAACATCAGACTATTGTTCATCATGCTCCAAATTCTGACAGAAAACATGCTGGTTTCAAACCAAAATGACAGTGACTGAATTGCTTTGACTTAGCCTACAGCGCCCTCTATGGGGGATCAAACCATGTCAGGCTTCATCATAATCAGGCCACAGCTTCCATTTTCAGCACAGCTGGAATGCTGTCTAGCTTGAAACCCCTCTGGCGACATTAGTTGTGACTTGATTTTCATTAGTAAATGAATCCAGTTTTCCTTACAGTTTTATCTCTGAAGTTCTGGATAGATGCATCAGCATCAGAGCCATCTGCCATGTAACCTACAACCACCAGCTGGAGGCTTTTGCCACCAATTTTAACTTTTCACTCCTTCCACTTCATGTGTTTTTGTGTCACTCTGACAAATGCTAATTTTCCTCCTCTCTGCTTCTTCTCTGGGCTCCATTTCAGCTGCGTCTCATCAGAGGAGACCTCATGTTAACTTGTAAGATGATTGAAGGCAAGACGAGAAAGAGGCAACGTCGCAGTTTCTTCTTTTAGAGGACAAAGGGATCCTTTTATCGTATTTTCCACTGAAAGATTTTGCCTCAAGATTTTGCCGACTTTATTATATTTTATAACATCTGGCTTCATGTCAGATTTTTTTATTTTTTTTTTTTACCTCAAATGTAATTGCTCCTCTGTTTACCGAAGGGGTACAAAAGAATGAATATCAAAATGAACCCTGAAGATAAAAGATGTTAAACTTTTCTATTTCTGTGACAGGAATCCCATACAGTGAACACAGCAGCTTCCTGGAGCTGAAGCGTTTCGTCCAGTGGCTCCAGCCTCTGAAGATCATCCCGACTGTGAACGTTGGCAGCTGGTCGAGCAGGAAAGCCATGGAGAAATGTTTCAGCGAGTGGCTGTCAGAAGCTAGAGCGAAACTCTAATTGGGTTGTTCTGAAGCTCAGATTTTAGTTTTTGAAAGTGGTTTTAACGCTAATAATGTACATTCTGACTAAATATGCACTCTTGGACTGGTTCAGTGAATGAAACTTCAATTCATTCCTGCCTTTGGTTGCAATGAGCTGTTTACATTAACATGTTTACAGTGAAATTAAAGGTATTTTACCTGCTAAATTATCTGTTGTGACCACATTCCCTTTAACATGCTGCTTTTTAAACTGTCCTTTTTGTTTTATATTTTTATCCTAAAATAAGATATTAAATATTCTTTAGACCTTTTGATTGTTTACCTCATTTGTACCAGTTTGGAATAATAAAAAATCATGCTTTTCAATATAATTTCTGAAATTATTTGATTATTTTATGTAATCTGTGCCAACATTTGCAGCAATGGCTTTGAAAACGTAAAGTTGTTGTTGAAGTGTGACATCATCTTTTTGGTGTAGAATTTAAAGCTAGATTTTCAGTTATAGTATAACCAAGTTGGGGGAAATGATCTTAAATCTTCTGGATGATCTTGGGAGAATCTTATAAAATGTTTTAAAAGGTCTTCAAACTACATATTTCCTTTACATATTGAAAATGGTATATTTTCAAAGCTGGAGGTTCTTGATCTATGTGGGTAATTCAAGGAAAATGGGTTTAAAAACTTTTAAATGGTATTTATTTTTCTGGTTTTGACCATCTACAAAAATGGGGTTAAAGGACATCATGAAACACCTTTTCATCAAACACGTGGATAAAATGTTCTGTCCAAATGTTTTTTTTTAGTGCCACGAATATTGGCTACAATAAAACTTAAATCCAGTTTTATTTATTTATTTTTAATTATGGAGGTCAAATGCTGGTTTGTGGATAGCCTGTAGCAGTTTCAGCTAACAAAGACTCCAAAAAGCACATAGAAACAACAAAACAATAGAGAATTTGTTACTAAAAGATAATCAGCTTTAAGATTGCATAATTTTTATATAAAGAGCTCAGGAGTGGTTTCAGGCTTGAATTATGACAAACATAGTTCAAGCATTGTGATGGTCCTAATTCACTTTGCTGCTTCAGGACCTGAATGACTTGTAACTGATAAAGGCATGAATTTGGCTGCGAAGGGGAAAATCCTCTAGTGTGAGTCAAGTGCAATTAAGTGTGGCACTAATTAACAACCAGAGATCCTAATTTGAATACCTAACTGTTCTGCAATGCCTCTGGAAGTCTCCAAACATGAATACTTTAACAATTTTTGTATAGGAAATAAAAAGACTATTTAATAAACAGAAATGCTTGTTAATTAATTTTATTCATAATCTTTTTACACAAAAATGACATTCATCTTCCCAGGACAAATAAAATTGCCAAAACCTGTTGCAAAGAACTTATTTGATGTAAAGCATTCATATATTACAGCATATGTATATATATTTCACAGTGATTCATATAGGTTACAAACAATAACAAAATTGGCCAAAAGAAAATTTTTTCCAAATCAGTTTCTTTCAATAAAAAAAACGTACAAAACTTTAACAAAAACCACAGGTTTAAGGGTTAAAGCATGTTTGTTCTTCATTCAGAGGGTAGAGAATCCGAAAGTTTCACTCTAGTAAGAGTAGAAACACTCATAATACAAGTACTCAGGTAAAAGTAAAACGTACAGCATGGTAAATATAATCCTAAAAGTTCTTTTTTTTTTCATAAAAATTACTCAAGTAAATATAACTAGTTACTATCCAACTCTACGCTGGACAAAATGCAAAAAAACTAAGTTCCTATGATTCAGTTAGATCTTGTAAAAAGTGCCTAAGTTTTTGTTTTGTGTGTTTTAAAAAAACGTGGCACATAACTGTGAGGCATGACACGATTTTATCTTCACGTTACCGACCCCTAAGTGAAGACATGTAAGACTGTTCTCTTACTGTACTTTTCACTGTACATCACATCTAATTGCTGAGAGGGCGTATCTAAGAAAAACACAACAATGTCACACTCAAAATCAAAAGTGTGTCAACCTTTCTTCCTGTTATACTTATCAACAAGTAGATATGCATAACATCTCGTTGGTTAGCAAACCTGTCTGTGCTACTGGGAGCAGGGTATTTACTGGGTGATTGGTTAGAAAGATGTCTCAACCCCATGGAGAAGAGCAGCATAATGCATGCAAAGCAATCTTAACATATACTGGGATTCCCTTTTAGTTGAAATTAAAAATGAGGAAATCCTATCTGTGGTTTCACTGTACAGGAAATTCTGACTGGCATTCACAATAAGCAGAAACAAATGGGACTTTCCATATTGACAAGAGATTTTTTCCTTCTTATTGTTTACATCTATTGTGATGTCAATCAAAGAAAGCATGACTGGAGTAATGTAAGTTCCCCTCTGTTACTCTGGAGCTTGCGTAAAGAAACTGGTATTTACAGGAAGTATATTTCTGCATGACGTTTACCTGTTGAAGACACAAACAGACATAAACTGCAACAGCAAGGAAATAGAACAAAAAGCATGATGATCTGTTCAAATACAACATATAGATCATGAATGTTCTGGTTGTGCCAGAATGTATTGATAAAACCAGTTAAAATATAAATAAATTCTTAAGATTAAATAGTAGTGAACATCTTTTTAGTCCCTCCAGGATGTCGCGATTGTTTTTTGTTGTAATTTCGAAATATTTGTATGATGCCAAATGCGACTTTTTAATCTCGCCGTATTATTATGGATTATAACTCGACATAGGTAAGGGCCACCCAGCTGTTTAGTAGAAATAAAAAACACTGCCACCTACAGGTGGGAGTGAATTGTCACTCAGATCCAATGTTTTTCACCATTTCTGTGGAAAATCTGCAATAAACTCACATTAATGTGAGAAAGTGCAGGGAATTTTTGACTATTTGTGTGAATTTTAATGATAATTCACAAAAAAACTGAAGGGACTAGTTGATGCAATTTGACAGTAAACAGATAAAAATTGCTTTGAATTGATATTTAAGCCCTCTGTTATTATGTGTCACTTTAGAGTCTAGAGGGCCACATAAAAAGCTGTGGCGGGCTGGATTTGGCCCCCGGGCCTTGAGTTTGACAGATGAGATCCTTCATTTTAACTCATTGAACTTGTCCGTAGTGATCAGCCTGTGCCTCAGTCACTGCAGGGAGAGTTTGACCAATGCAGAGGCTGGCATCCACGCTGGCGCTGGACGGTCACTTTCACCTGAAGTCAGATTCAGAGGCGTGAATGACGCATGCAAACCCTGATGACCTAGTCAGTGTGTCTGTTGCGAGCAGCGACTTTACCTCATCCTTCATCGACTTGCTGATAAACACGTAGAAATCCTCCACGCTGTCGGTTTGGAGGTCATTTATCGCCACGACTCGGTCTCCCTTGTGGAAGAGGCAGACGGACTGCGGCTGTCCAGTCCAGCCAGACACACTGGCACATACATAAACAAACAAATGCTGAGTCACAGTAAATTTAATGCTTTTTGTTATATCAAAATCATGAATCCTCTTAAAGGGACGGTGGTGCCGAATGTATTGATGAAACCTGTTCAGACTGTTAAAACATCAATGAATTCTTAAAATCAAATAATACTGATGAACATCTTTTCAGTCCTTCCAGGATTTTGTGATTCTTTTTGTAATTTTTTTCCCAATAAAAGTCAGTGTTTGTGATACCAATTCGGAAATATTTGCAATATTTGCGCCTATTTATGACAGGAAATGCGACTTTTTATTACTCGCTGGGTGGATCATGGACTGTAATCTGATATCAATTAAGGCTGAGTCAGCTGTTTAGTAAAAGTAATAAAGATTTTGACAATTTTTCAGAAAAATCTGCAATAAATTCCCCATTATGAGTGCAAAAAATGATGGGATTTGTTGATTTTTCTATGAATTTCCACAATAATTCTCAGGAAACTGACTGATTGACATATTTAGCAGGAAACAGAAAAACTGTATTCATTTTATTGAAAACATAATATTTAAGCACAATTAGTGTCTGGAGGGCCACATTAAAAACTATGGCGGGCCGGATTTGGCCCACGGGCCTCGAGTTTGACACTTGTGATTATGATTTTTGCTGCAGATTTAAATCTTAAGACAAAACCTTAATATTTATTACTTCTAATGTAATAAAAAATTGCTTTGGTTTTGTAACATAAGCGTCTCGTTTACTTTCTTATGTTTTTGCATTATAAATAGTGCGACATGTTTTCATGAAGGTAAAGCAATCATTGTTAATCCCAGCATGAAAACAAGCTCTCACACAATACGTCTGAATGCAATGAACAGAAATCTCACCCACTTTGGGTTTTTTTTTTGCATTGTTAGAATAATTTTTTTCTTCATACAGTGTAAAGCATTTGAAGGAGATTTAACATGAAAATGAAAGTTCACTTTCAATAAGAAATTTTTTTTGGTTTTAATTCAGAAATGTAGATTTAACAAGAGGCAAATTGACTTGTGATTTTAACTTAACTCTGCAATTTAAAACAAATAATTATTTCACAATATGCAAGAAAAAATTGTCCTCACACAGTTTTCTCACAAGATCAAATTAAAATAACTGCTTACTTTTCTTCAGAATATTTTAAATTCTTGTTTTAAATTGCATGAACAAGATTTTTGATCTGATAATGAATTTTATTAAACATGTTAATAAATCCTGTTCAAAAATATTTAGCTTCACCAGGACATTAAAATAAACATTTGCCTTAATAACGCAAGAGTCAGATCAATGTAACACACTTCCATCTGATGATACAAAAATATGCCTCAAAGCATTCTGGGAAATTGTTCCCACTTTTGTTTTTTTATCTAAAAAAATAAACCTAAAAACTCCAGTTTATTCAAATCTGGGAAGATTGACAAAATTAACACAACTTCTGCTGTAAGTTTATCTTTCACAAACTCACACATTTAAAAATCTAAAACTCGCTAAATTTATTTGACTTAAAGAGTAGAAGATAGTAGACACAACTTAATGCGGCTCAAATGTTTTACAGTGTACGTACACGGGGTACGTCAACTTGAGTAACTTTTTGGTGTTTTAGAGTTTTGACAAACCTCAGCTTTCCTTCCACCTCTGTCAGTGTGAGATCGTTCTTCAAACCATCCAGATTCATCATGAACTCCCTCATGTCTGGCCTGAGGCTGCTGAGGGTTGAAAGGAAAAAAACAGAAGAGATGAAACTGGATATTTTCACCGGAAAGCAGGATATTACTAAATAAAAATGCTTTCGGTACACATCATTGGGTCAAATCTTTGTCTTGTTCTGCATTTAAAGTCACTTCAAGATATGCTGGTGTCATGTCGTGCTTTACAAAAGTATTTCTGCAAGCAACGTTTTTACAAATTGTCATATTACAGCCACAAACGTCAGTGTGTGGCTCTCATACAGTTTTACTGCTTGACTTCTAATGTAAAAAGTCTGCATCTGATTTTATGTAAGGGAATAAAAGTAAGCAATAAAACCTAATCACTTGAAAATCACTAGTTTCACTTGAATTAAGACAAACTAATAGGAGCTCATTTTAAGTCAATAATTCCTTAATATTGGTGAAGTTTTTGTTCAATTTGCAGATAAATTTATTTTCCCCATTTTAGGAATTTAAATAATCTGCCAATATCTAGTTCCATAGAAATATCTAGTTCCATAGAAATAGAACTAGAACTTTTTCATAAGTATTAATGAATTATTGACACTGAACAAGGTATATTAATTAATTTTGTTTTATTTCAAGTTTACCAGAAACTTGAAGTTCCTCCTAAATCTCAACTGTAGAGTAACTTGTTTTGGCCTCTTGTGTAAAATTCCTACAAAATCCTTTGAAGAAACTATTGATTAACATTCTGTGTAGAAGCACAAAAGGACAGGAAGATCTGGTTTTCACCTGCAGTCTGCATGCTTGGGAGTGTTTTGCACAACTTAATGACTGTTTCTTACTGTTTGATACAACAGTTGTGCAATGCACCATGCTCTAGAAACCATTCCAACCGGGCCAGCAACATGCCGGCCGTTTATCTAAATGAATCTAAATGAATCACTCAAAATGCCAAGAAGCCCTCTGGCATTTTTCCCAAATATTTCCGGTAGCTGCTTACAAAAAGAGCAGCTCGTTAAGTTGAACACAACATGACCGAAATCAATTTTGTTAAATTCTAGATTTAAATTACATTCTACGTAAAGATTTTGTAAATCTTACTTCTCAATGGAGCCTCGTCTTTCCGAATTCGGCTCCAATACATCAACAGGTGAAACGGCGCCACTGGAGCAGGTGCTGAAATCTGAAGACTGACGTTTGTCTTCTCTGGAAAACACAATGCCACCATTTTCAGATGCTTTCAACAGATACGACAATCGAAAATACAGCGAGAGAGTTTGCAGAAATGAAGGAAATGAGCCACGAAAAGACTTACATACTGCTAACATGCCTTTTAAAAGATTTACTTTCAGTAAAAAGTCCCCAAAAAGAGAGAAAAGTGGGCAAAAAATGCTTTGGATGAAGTGAAAAATATTAACAATACCTTTATTGTACATGCAAAATCATATTTAAACAATTCTGATAAATTGTGAGCAAGTTCAGTTTTTGTTAGGGTCATTTTCTGCTGTTGTGTGCCGCAGATTTCTATCCTGCAGAACAAACCAACCTTCACCAGTTAGTAAAGTAACCAGTCTAAAAACAAGAAGTAACCTCTCATTGTAAAAAAAAAAGAATGCAAATAAATACAACATAGAAAAAAAAGAACATAAAATATAAACAATGAACCCCATTGAAAACCTCCTGGTTATTCCAGTAATGATTTCTGAACTCTTCTTGAGTTAAAACATTAGTATTGTTGCTTCTAAATGAGTATGAACTCGTTTTCTTTGCATTGTTTGAGCTCTGAAAGCACTGCATCTTTTTATTTTGATAATTTCTCATTTTCTGCAAATAAATACAAAGTTTTTGCTTGGAATTTCGGGGACATGTTGTCAGTTGTTCATAGAATAAAAGAACAATGTCTATAAAAAGTAAAATCTGAGAAACTGATCATCATAAAAAGTCTCTTACCAAGTATTTTTGGTCACGTTTCTAGTGCAATTACTTTAGTTTTGTTTTATTTCTAGTGTGCTAAGACATTTACATGAGAAACTAGGCACATAATGTTGTGTTTTTGCAGTTGTTACATGCAGAAACTCTTCAGGGTGGGATTCAAACCAGTTACCTTCTTGTTGCAAGGTAACAGGGCTAAAAACTGTGCAGCCAAGGCAAAAGACAAAACAAGAAAAATTGAGAGGAAAAAAGAAGGAATCAGTGGTGAATGTTTGGTTTGATCACTCAGTGCATGAGAACTGGTGAAACAAGGACAAAGAAGATTTTTTAATAGTTCATAGGAACAGCCTGGAGGCAAAAATAACGTGCAAACTGCTGCCAACAAGGCACTGGTGCATTTTAATGAACAGCCTTTGCCAAACACAAGAGAGAGGGCGGTTTTATTTTTTATTGATCTATTTTTTTAGTTAGGCAAATTAGCAGTTTACCACAGTTGGCTGGAAATCACAAAGATTTATTACACAGTTTGACATCAGAGGAAATTTGGTGAAGCAAACAGCAGCAGATGATAACAGAGTAAAAGAAGAATAAAGAGCTGCTGGGTGTCCTGTCTAAACATGAAGGTCAAAGGTCACCTGAAAGCCTGCTGTCCAACTGACTGAAAACTAGTTTGGCAAAATAGTTCTCATAAAAGTGCATGCAAACAATTTAAGAAAACATTTGTTTCCTAACTGGAAGACCTGTGCATAAACCTGCAGGACTGGATTCCTCAAGGTTGAGGATTTCCGCAGCCCTTTGAGTCAAAGTGCACAGCAGAGTTTTTAACGAGAAGAACTTTGAAGTTGTCAACAGACCTGCTTCTTCTGTTAAGAGGCAGGTTTTAACCTCTTCCACCCTGTGTAAACAAATGTAACATTCAGGACCCTTCTTACATGGGAAGACCACTTCCGGCACGCCGCAGATTGGTCAAAGTGTAAAAATATTCGATAATCCCAACAAATTCACATAAAAAAAACTGCAAATGCCACATTCAATCTGCTGAGGGTAGACGAGGAACAAAAGTCTTGATGTATTTCTGCAGACAGGCATTAATTGTCTCCAGTCAGATGTGATGATAACAGCATTTGGGGACGTTTGTTTCTGTGACGGGTTGGGAGATCGGATAAAAACAGACTGATTTACATTGACAAGACCAGGAAGCTTTTGATAAAGAAAAGGTGTCACGCTTTGCTGATTTCCTTAGAAGGTTAAACTGAGAGCGGGTTTAACTTTAACCTTTATCTATGGAAGAGATGCTCCAACAACTCATCTGTGTTTTGTTGTTGTGGAGAATCACCTTAAATCAGGGCGAAATCGAAATCATGAGTCCTCTTATAGGGCCAGATGTATAGATAAAACCTGTTCACAAACTGTTAAATATCAATGAATAATATTAATGAGAATATTTTCTGGATTCTGTGATTCTTTTTGTGATTTTTAGCATTAAAAATCAACGTGTTTGTGGTACTAATTTGGGCATATTTGCGCTTATTGATGACGGTAAGTGCAACTTTTTATTACTTGCCGTTCAGATCATGCACCATAATCTGATATCAGTTAAAACTGAGGTAGCTGTTTAACACGAGTAATAAGGTTTTTGACCATTTTTGAGAAAAAGATGCAATAAACTTTCAGTTATTATCACAAAAAAGTGCTGGGATTTGTTGATTTTGTGTGAATTTCCACAGTAATTTTCAAGAAACTGGAGGAACTGGTTGATATAATATAGCAGTAACAGGTCAAAACTTCATTAATTTGATTGAAAACATAATATATAAACAGACTTAGTGTTTAGACTAGAATCTAATGGGCCACATACAAAGCCCACTAGACCCAGCCTGTCACTTTAGGTAGACGTCCTTTCCTTTTCAGCGGCGCTACACTGACTCCATTTTCGTACCTCAAGTTAAAATTTTATGACTTTTATGACATTGTGGAGAAGCTTTCAACTTCTCCACAATGTCCTGACCTTTTCTGGTGTAATCCTGGGTCTCTGCGATGCTTTTTGTTCACTTTGGTTCTCAAACAATAAAAAAAAAAAAAACATGCAGAACAGCTGGATTTATCCAGACATGAAGTTGGGATATTTAATAATTAGGGAACTTTTACAAAGTGGTGTCTATGGAAGAGGTTTAGGGCTGCAGAAAGGAAAATTCTCAGAATTTTTACTTTTTATTTTCCCTCAGAATTCTAAATTTAATCACAAAATTTCGACTTTGATCTTCTAAGTTCTCAGAATTCTGAGATGCAATTCTGAATTCTGGGGAGAAAAAAAATAAAAAAGCAGATTAAAGTAAGAATGACAACAAACAAGTTTAAAATCTTAATTTTTTCTTCTAAATTCTGACTTTAATTTCATAATTCTAACTTTTGTCGTCTGAATTCTCAGAATTCCGAGATTAAAGTCAAAATTCTGAATTTTTTCTCTAAATTCTGACTTTAATCTCAGAGTTCTGACTCATTTTTCTAAAATTGTGACTTTTGATCTCACATTAAAGTCTGTTTTTTTCAGTAACCTTAATCCTCTTCTGTGCCAAATGTGACACTTCTTAGAGTTGTATATGTTGTTCTTTTTCTTTAAATTTCACAAACATGTACTGCTTTCTGTTGGCCTATATTCCAGTAAAAAAAAAAAAAAAATTGACGTTTGTTGTTATGCAGAAAAAATTGGAGAAAGTTCAAGGAGCGTGACTGCTTCTGTACGCCTTTATGTAGCACTTCAAAGTACCATAAATGGTAGGAGTGATCAGTCCAGTGCAGAAATCGTGTTAAAGCATAAATGCAATCGAGAATAGGATTACAATCACAAGGCTTGTGATTGTAAGATCACCTACATAATCTGTAAAAATGATCAGCAGCGCAGAGAGTTACGGTGAAATGATTCATAACTTGCTAAACAAGTTTTGCCTTTTCAAGATTCCTCAATGAATGCCAACACTTGTGAGGTGTTAAAGTAGATAGTGTTGCAATAATCCCTGTGTTGATTGAGCTGCAGGTTGTTAGCATGTAGCACTAACAATAAACAGTGGACATACCCATTTTCAGCAGGTCCTTCATTTGCTGTCAGAGGTGGAGATTTCTCTGCCTTGTATTTGATGTAGACGTCAGTGATGGACCTCATCAGGGTGCTGTTGCCAATCACTTGAACTTCACGATCTCTAAAACATCACACACAAAATATATGTATCTGTATATATCGATAAAACAAAACCCAAAACAAAGAATAGTCATAGCAACAACAAAAGAAACGTCACAAAACTTACTTTGGCTCAGATGCGTTCAGCATGCTTTTAAATTCTGTCATCGATTCATACCTTGAAGGGACGCAGGTTTAAAATGTTAGCTTCTGAATTTAATTTATTCTGTACAAATGGGAGCGTTAAGCAGAACTCACAGTGACTCCATGCTGCCTGCCCGCTTTACACTCTCTCTCTTTTCAACGCCACAATGAAAAACAAAGAAATATACAAGCAGAACTTCAGTATAAATCACAGTTTGCGACTTTAGGTTATACGTGTGCCACTAAATGTCACATTTAGTGAAGTGCTTAATTATATTTAGGCAGAGTACCACAAAAAAATTTTATTCAAGTATGAGTAATCGTACTTCAACATATTTTACACAAGTAAAAGTGGATTGAAGCTGAATTTTTAAGCTCAATACTTTGGAAGGTTTGAGTCATTCCAGAAGCTTAACTGGACATTATTATGTATTTTCCAGGCATGTTGTGCCATTTTATAGCACAATCAAGTAACTGTGCAATACTATGTTGTTATAAAAATGGTATATACAGTGTATACAGTCATCACCTTCCTAAAATAATCACCTTAGTAATTTTTTGGGTCAAAAGTGCTCTATTATTTCAGGAAGGTGACAAAATAGGACTTCAATATTCAAGGCCTTGGAATTGGGTCTCTGTCTCTTTAAAAACTCCCACTCTTTCTGAGACTCCGCCCACAGGAAGTTATCACATCCTCTATTAACCCTTTAATGACTGAGACCGAGTGTTAAAACTTGTTTAAAATTTGCAGCTGCCCAAAGAGACAAGCCAAATTTATTCATGGATAGAAAATATGATCAGATGAGACTAAGATTAATCTATTCTAACTCTAAAAAGAATTCTTTCTAACCAACTAGACAATAAAAAAAAATCCCAAAACTTCTAACTGGAACATTAAATAGCCTTTTTGTTGACTTTTTGAATAAAAGACAAACATTTTAAGTTCTAAGAAAATTAATAATCAACATAGCAAGCTACCTTTCGGCGGGACTTGGGATAGTCATAAATGTTACTGACAGGCTCAGAGATTGGTCTCCTGGAATTGTCTTCCACCTGATAAACAATCAGAAAGCAGCATGACTTGGTGTGGATAGGCTTCCCAAACTAAATGTAGCATTGTGCACAAGCTGCAGATACGAACCGGCTCTTCAGTGCCCCCTTCTGCAGCATTGGAGGAAGGGTCCGAAAGTGACCTAGCCTTCACCGGTGACTGGAAAACAAACACAATAATGTTATTTAATGTGCCTAATATTTATATGCTTTTTATGCTCATGTTGGCACAAGTCAATATAAAAACAATTGCTTTCTGATCATAAAACACACTAGCGTGACCTTGGAAGATGGGTAGAAAAGTAAAGGTATACTCACAGACGGCAACGAGAGTTTGCTGGCATCATTCTGATCTTCTTCTTTTTTTGCAAGGAAAGGCACCTGCAAACCAGCAAGTAATTGTTTATTACATTACTACAAAATCACTCGTTTGAACTGCATGTCTTTCAAGAGAACCAGGTTTGTCACATTTTTAATAATTTCAGACTTTAACCAGATTTAAACTCTGAACCTAAAGCATTTTTCTACAATCTTGTGATGAGCATGTGGAGGAAAGTCTGTTATCGTCGTTTTCATAGAAATATCAACATGTGCAGGAAGTCTTTGGGTTTTTCTCACACATGGTTGATTCAGTCCAATTAGTTGGGGAACAAAATTGTTACATTAAAAAAAAAATCTGCTGCTGCAGCTCAATATCAAACTGACTAAACTTATGATCAACCTGCTGCCCACTCTCCTCTGGTGGCGCAGTACAAAAACCCACTGAATGAAACAACGTGAAAACCACAGAAGAAGACACGAGCGCAATTCTTTCTTCATGAAATGTAAACCAAAATCAAATGGTGTCAGATTTTAGCATTTAGGATTTATCTTTCTGTCTTTCTCAAAAGGCTGCAAGCCATTTCTGCTGCTAAAATTGCAACTTTCTTTTGGTTGTATTTACCCAGAATGCTTTGCTTTTTAGACCGAGCTCACGTCAACCAAACTGAGACTTGGGTTTTTAGACCGACTGGAGTTCGCATTTTTGGCTCCCAACAGAATTAAATGACGCATTTTCACCAAACGAACCAGACTTTCTATACAAACAAACCTGATTAAAATGGACTGAACAGACTAAATAGTTTAGTTTATATCTTTTTTGGAAGATATAAACATTTGCTTGAACTTAGTTCCTGGTTAAAAACACTTTTAGAGAAATTATTCACCAAAAAATGTTGAATTCTACAGTCCTGATGAATTAACAGGACATAGTTAAAATGTTTTTATTACATCTGCACTAACCTTTATCTCTGGGGCAGAAAACTTTCTCCGGTGAATAGGGTTTGAAATTGTCTGATAGAACAGGAAAAGAAAAGTATTTTTATTTAGAATCTGATAAGGATCTGATAATACGTCAAGGAACAACAGTTTGGGGAGTTTTTTTTTGTTTGTTTGTTTACAGTGTACAAAAAAAAATTGATTGGTGAGTTTGAGAACTGAGAAGGAAATAAAACGAAACCGCAGTTTCCAGACAAGGAAGCGTTATTTAAGGAGAAGAAAAGCTCTATTGTCAAAAAATCAAGTACCTGAATTATACGGCTTCACTACAGGATTCCCTTTTCACATTTTGTTACAACTACACATGATAATGTGTTTCACTGAGATTTAATTTGCTGTAATCTGAATAAAATCAGCTGTTCTGCGAAAATCAGGCAAACAGCATCATTAAGTCTAACATTCACAGCAAACAGGTGAAAAAGTTAGTAAAACCAGGATTAGTTATGTAACTTTGACCATCTTAGGAAAAACACAAATGTACCAGAAATAGCTGCTATTGTGGAATAATTAAACTTTTTTCTTCTGTTTTACTTTGTGCTTCTGATTTTATATTTACTTTTCTTTATTTTTATTATTTTTAAACTGTGCTGACTTTCTTTATGCATTTATGTGAGCTAGTGCAACATAATTTTATTCTGCATTGTGTCTTAAAGTACATTTTGAAACTAGAATTTACTTTTAATATTCAATAAAATGAATGAATAGTTCAGTTTTTAAAACAATAATACTTTTAAATATTTAAAGCATTTTTTTGTTTTTTTAAATACAGATTAAAACAATTATTAGATATTTTATTATAACATGTATTGTACTATAATAATTATTTTATGACTATTAGAAGAAAATAATAATTATTCCAATAATTATTTTTATTGGAATTATTATAACAAAAATAATTATTTGAACTGTTTTTCATATAGAAAAATTATTTGCGAAGTTTTATGTGCAAGTGGTCCTGCAAGAAAAACGTCAAAATAGGTTATTAACCCTGGTCCTCATATTAATCACCGTAAAATACATTTTAGAGAATATTAAAGCTGCTCTTGAATATAATATAAAATAAACTCCACATGCTTACTTCAATGACTGGTTGCCCGTTGCTGATTTCCTATAGGAGAAGGATGAATAAATAAGCAACGTGGCATATGGAAGTGGAAATAAAACTATTCTCAATGCAGCAAAAAACATGAGAAACATGGAAGAAGTCGTAAAAGCTTAATGCACCTCTGATTTGAGAAATTTATGAGGGCGATTTTTCAGGGCTTCAAACAGGTCAGTGAACCAGCCGTCCGCCTCCGAGCTAAAAGGGAAAGAAGGCAATTCTGAGACTCAACAAATCACATCGGTGACATTTTAATTTCAAATCTAATACCAAAAATCAAGTCCAAGGAGGGAACGCGAACACTTAGCAGAGATTTATTTTGTGGAAAAGCCATTATCAGATGATTGCCTTAGTGTAAAGGGGAAAAGAGCACCATCATTTGTATTGGGCTGGTTTAAGTCTAAAAATAGTAATTGGTGAATAATGTTTAAGAAAGTGATTCATGGAAATACACTAAAATGATGCTAACTGCATTCACACACAAAATGATTCAACCACAATTTGAGCTGCACCGACAAAGACGTCAAATTTAGGTAAAACATGGACAGTACAATATGTGCAAAGCACAGATCTGCTCACTGAGAGATGTGTAGAGCTCCAACTCAATATAATTGTGCATAATTTAGGTTTGCTGCATGATCACAATTTTATGTTTTAATTTAATTTAACAATTAAAATGTTGCAGTGCAAGTAAAAAAAAAGTAAATTTTAGTTAAATGAACATTTTATTAAGAAATGTTACTAAAAATGAAATGCACAAACATATTTTCCAAAATATTTATTTTATTTTGTAAATAAAATATTTTTTTTTCCTTAGTTGAAAAAATTCAAAATTTTAACTAAATACTCATTTAGTAATTTAAAAAAATCCTAAATATTCATTTAGTAAAAAATAATAAACATTCTTACTAGATGTTTTATTAGTAAATAAAAGAAGGTGTCTATTTAGTAAAAAGAAAATAAACATTTAGTAAAAATCTTCATTTTTACTAATGCAGCAACATGCATTAAAGTCAAAAAGGGTTAAAAAAAAATCCAAACAAAAACAGAACTTTCTCACCTGGTCTCCCCAATAAGAAAGTAGTCCCGGTTTGCTGCCCTGAGGTACACCACACATGATGGGGAGCATTTAAAACTCTTCTGCACCCACTGCCATCTCTGGTGGTGTTCAGGGTTCGCATATAACAGTGAGACTCTATCAGAGAGACACAGGGAGGTTATTTTAACCTCCCTTAAGCATTTTAAAAGCAGCAAATTAGCCTCAGATTGATGCAACGAGCTGAAAATGTGAGAACGTACTGCGTCAGGTCGATGCCTCCGAGCTGGCTGACTTGCTCCTCTGCACTTTTGTAGTACCTGAGCAGGTAGTCGTTCTCTGAGGTTTTGTAAAGCACAAAGAAACGTCTCTTCCACTGCAGGAGAAACAAGAAATAAGGCATTTAGTTAAAGAAAACAATTTAAAACTGCACAGAGTTGCAATAAAGGTGAGAAAAAGTTCCTCACCTCTGATTTCAAACGCAATTGAGGAGGCGACTTAAGCAAGTATCCAGACCTGATTTCTTGTGCATTACTTATTGAGTTGTAAAACACTGCACCTCCTGCATAATTAAATAACTATTTAGTGATAAAATTCTGTTTAATTTAATTTAAAACAAAAAACTCGTCAGCAAATATTAGATTTAAATAATTATTAGTTATTCAGAAATAAAATACATTAATAAAAAAAAATACGAATGACAACATTCAGACTTAAGTCTTAGTGACAAGTAAACTTTAAAATATTCAAGTCAATGCATAAATTTAAAGTTAACAGAAAAAAGCCTGCAAGATTTGCTAAAAAAAATTACAGAAATATTTTATCTTAATACAAATGACAACATTCATACACACTTTAAAATATTTACACTAAAAAATCCAGAAGCAGTATATTACCTGATGTGCTCCTGTCTCTTTTATGCATTTTGATAAATTCCACCTAAACACAAGTAACATGAAATGACTTTATCAGAATTGCATTGTTATAGTTGATATTTAAAGTGTAAATTCACAGTAACTTCGCTCATGGATACTGGCGGGAAAGGACAAAAATAAAAGTAAATCAAGAGCAAAAGCCAGGTGAACATTCACAATGAAATATAACAACATTTTTGCACAGAATAATGTTCTACACATATAAAAACGCTGAAGATGAAAGTGCTTTCAGATTAGAAACAGACAGCGTAACAAAATAAAACGCATGTAAGAAACACACGTGTCCTTACCTGTACAGGGATCCGAGTTGCTGCACTGTCTTAACCAGAAGAGCAATCTGGTTAAGACAGATTGCTCTTCTGTCTTATTTCTGCATTTCTGCACCTGGCAACCAGTGACACCATCAGAGTCAGAACTGGTGTTTCTGGTTTTCTGCCGCCAGCTTGTTTCAGACTCTACCTGCATTGTTTTCAGATTTCAAAAACGCCTCGAAGGTTTCATTGAGGCCCAGCTTTCCTGTGGAAAAATATCCCTCTATTCCCCTTAATTCGACCGGTTGCTTGTTTCCAGCTGAACTGTGTTTCTCACACAGGCATGGATTCCCTTTAGCTGTGGTTTTTATTATAAATGGATAATATGGTAACTTTCCAAAGCATAACAGAAAAGTTGTCATGTACCTTCAGGGTTTTAAGATTTTGAAATGAAACCACAAACTTTAACATATTTATCAGGACTTTTAAGACCAAAACCAAGCAGTATTTATTTATGAAGTTAGAGGAGGTTGGAGGTAAAAACTAGTGAGAATTACATTTTACTTTTAATTGAATAATTTTGTTATGTAGTATTTCTAGTCTTACTTGAGTAAAATTTCAGGAATTTCTCCCCACTGAGTGAAAATCAAACATATTTTAACCAAATGTTCACACACCTACAGTTTTTGTTAAAGTTTCATAAGTGTTTTTTTTTTTTTTTTGTCTTTTGAAAGAAACTGATTTGGAAATAAATATTTCACCTCATTTTGTTATTTTTTACTACTTGAATTAATGTCATTTTCATCCTTAAAATACCAGAATTTCCATTGAACTTCATAATTTGGTCCGTCTGATAATGTCATTTTTAAATATTAAATAACTGATAATTTGATCAGTTACTCGGTACTTCAGTAACTGATTTATTCGTCTTCCACATAAAATCCCCTTCAAACATGTTGACATTTTTGATTTCCTCACTAACATGCACGGAGTTAACGACAAACATGGCTGCAGGCTGTGAAGCAAACAAAATTAAACGTTGAGGAAATTTCTGCAAAGTGGCAGTTCCCTAATTAAGACGCTTTCGTGCAAAAACAGGGCATGTCAGCAAAACGCCAGTGAAGTTACAGTCAGTGCTGGACCCGTCCCGCTCCCTCTGTGCCATCTGATTACAAATATGCAGCACATCAGGAGAAACGGGGAGATGGAGGTCAGTCGGGGTTCTGTGCTGCAACATCAATATTAATTTAAACTGACGTCACTGAGGGAGATAACTTAATTTTGGTGTGTGTGACGTCTGTCTGCTTGTGCACTGGCCAGTTTTTGCATGTAAAAGTTTCTGGGTCATGGCAATAAATTAAAAAAAAGTAAACAGCAGCAATGGGACTCAACAGCTGCTCACATGTGAACTTGCTATAATCATGCAGAACAAAGTTTGTACGTGACCCACAAAGCAGCATTCATGTCTCAAAAATACTTCAAACGGCCCTTTTTACATCTTCATGTAGGTCACAATCAAACATTCGCTGATATTAATAGAGCTCTGGGCTTGATCTTTAGTAGGACATGGCATCTCTTTTTCATGCAAATCTGACAGTTTTTATCAATATTTGTTCTTATATGACTAAAATCTTGTTCCTGCTTGTCTTCAAAGTGATTTGAAGACAGGGCCTCTCAGGGCCTGAGAGTCCCTCAGAGAGGGCCTCTCAGGGCCTGAGAGTCCCTGTCTTGAACTCTCACTTTAGACCCAGTGAGAGTCTAACGTTGTCCATTGTTGCACCCATGGACTGAGAACTTTAACTTCCTTCTCTTTCCAACATTTACAATAGTACATTCTGGATGCAGTGTATGGTGCAGACCATTCCATAAGCAGATCTTGAACTCCCTCCACTTTCCACCTGTCTGAGTAAAGCCTCCCTAACATGTGCGGAATAAAGCACATGTTAGAGAGTTGGCTCCCTCACTGACACTCTGCATACAGACTATGCTTCGCAGTGTTCCGCCTGCAGGTCTTGAACTCAGACCCATCGGAACCGCTACGCATGTCTTTACGCAGTGCGCCAGCCGAGCACTGACCCATCAAACTGCTCGAACTCCTAAAAGTACCTCAAAGTCGGTCTTCCGTGTTTAACTTCAAAATTCCAGCTATCACTCTGGATAAAGAGGGTGCTTCGGACCATTCCGCCTGCAGGTCTTGAACTCAGACCCATCGGAACCGCAACGCATGTCTTTACGCAGTCCACCAACCGAGCACTCACCCATCAAGCCGCTCGAACTCCTAAAAGTACCTCAAAGTCGATCTTCCGTGTTTAACTTCAAAACTCCAGCTATCACTCTGGATAAAGAGGGTGCTTCGGACCGTTCCTCACCCGGGTCTTGAACTCGGACCCATCGGAACCGCAACGCATGTCTTTACGCAGTGCGCCAACCGAGCACTCACCCATCAAGACGCTCGAACTCCTAAAAGTACCTCAAGTCGGTCTTCCGTGTTTAACTTTAAAACTCCAGCTGTCACTCTGGATAAAGAGGGTGCTTTGGACAATTCCGCCTGCAGGTCTTGAACTCAGACCCATCGGAACGGCAACGCATGTCTTTACGCAGTGCGCCAACCGAGCACTCACCCATCAAGCCGCTCGAACTCCTAAAAGTTCCTCAAAGTCGGTCTTCCGTGTTTAACTTTAAAACTCCAGCTGTCACTCTGGATAAAGAGGGTGCTTCAGACCATTCCGCCTGAAGGTCTTGAACTCAGACCCATCGAAACCGCAACGCATGTCTTTACGCAGTGTGCCAACCGAGCACTCACCCATCAAACCGCTCGAACTCCTAAAAGTACCTCAAAGTCGATCTTCCGTGTTTAACTTCAAAACTCCAGCTGTCACTCTGGATAAGAGGGTGCTTCCGTCCGTTCCGCACCCGGGTCTTGAAGTCAGACCCATCGGAACCGCAACACATGTCTTTACGCAGTGCACCAACCGAGCACTCACACATCAAGCCGCTCGAACTCCTAAAAGTACCTCAAAGTCGGTCTTCCGTGTTTAACTTTAAAACTCCAGCTATCACTCTGGATAAAGAGGGTGCTTCAGACCATTCCGCCTGAAGGTCTTGAACTCAGACCCATCGGAACCACAACGCATGTCTTTACGCAGTGCGCCAACCGAGCACTCACCAATCAAACTGCTCGAACTCCTAAAAGTACCTCAAAGTCGGTCTTCCGTGTTTAACTTCAAAACTCCAGCTATCACTCTGGATAAAGAGGGTGCTTCGGACCATTCCGCCTGCAGGTCTTGAACTCAGACCCATCGGAACCGCAACGCATGTCTTTACGCAGTGCACCAACCGAGCACTCACCCATCAAGCCGCTCGAACTCCTAAAAGTACCTCAAAGTCGATCTTCCGTGTTTAACTTCAAAACTCCAGCTATCACTCTGGATAAAGAGGGTGCTTCGGACCGTTCCTCACCCGGGTCTTGAACTCGGACCCATCGGAACCGCAACGCATGTCTTTACGCAGTGCGCCAACCGAGCACTCACCCATCAAGACGCTCGAACTCCTAAAGGTACCTCAAAGTCGGTCTTCCGTGTTTAACTTTAAAACTCCAGCTGTCACTCTGGATAAAGAGGGTGCTTTGGACAATTCCGCCTGCAGGTATTGAACTCAGACCCATCGGAACCGCAACGCATGTCTTTACGCAGTGCGCCAACCGAGCACTCACCCATCAAGCCACTCGAACTCCTAAAAGTTCCTCAAAGTCGGTCTTCCGTGTTTAACTTTAAAACTCCAGCTGTCACTCTGGATAAAGAGGGTGCTTCAGACCATTCCGCCTGAAGGTCTTGAACTCAGACCCATCGAAACCGCAACGCATGTCTTTACGCAGTGCGCCAACCGAGCACTCACCCATCAAGCCACTCGAACTCCTAAAAGTTCCTCAAAGTCGGTCTTCCGTGTTTAACTTTAAAACTCCAGCTGTCACTCTGGATAAAGAGGGTGCTTCAGACCATTCCGCCTGAAGGTCTTGAACTCAGACCCATCGGAACCACAACGCATGTCTTTACGCAGTGCGCCAACCGAGCACGCACCAATCAAACTGCTCGAACTCCTAAAAGTACCTCAAAGTCGGTCTTCCGTGTTTAACTTCAAAACTCCAGCTATCACTCTGGATAAAGAGGTGCTTCGGACCATTCCGCCTGCAGGTCTTGAACTCAGACCCATCGGAACCGCAACGCATGTCTTTACGCAGTGCACCAACCGAGCACTCACCCATCAAGCCGCTCGAACTCCTAAAAGTACCTCAAAGTCGATCTTCCGTGTTTAACTTCAAAACTCCAGCTATCACTCTGGATAAAGAGGGTGCTTCGGACCGTTCCTCACCCGGGTCTTGAACTCGGACCCATCGGAACCGCAACGCATGTCTTTACGCAGTGCGCCAACCGAGCACTCACCCATCAAGACGCTCGAACTCCTAAAGGTACCTCAAAGTCGGTCTTCCGTGTTTAACTTTAAAACTCCAGCTGTCACTCTGGATAAAGAGGGTGCTTTGGACAATTCCGCCTGCAGGTCTTGAACTCAGACCCATCGGAACCGCAACGCATGTCTTTACGCAGTGCGCCAACCGAGCACTCACCCATCAAGCCACTCGAACTCCTAAAAGTTCCTCAAAGTCGGTCTTCCGTGTTTAACTTTAAAACTCCAGCTGTCACTCTGGATAAAGAGGGTGCTTCAGACCATTCCGCCTGAAGGTCTTGAACTCAGACCCATCGAAACCGCAACGCATGTCTTTACGCAGTGCGCCAACCGAGCACTCACCCATCAAACCGCTCGAACTCCTAAAAGTACCTCAAAGTCGATCTTCCGTGTTTAACTTCAAAACTCCAGCTGTCACTCTGGATAAAGAGGGTGCTTCCGTCCGTTCCGCACCCGGGACTTGAAGTCAGACCCATCGGAACCGCAACACATGTCTTTACGCAGTGCGCCAACCGAGCACTCACACATCAAGCCGCTCGAACTCCTAAAAGTACCTCAAAGTCGGTCTTTCGTGTTTAACTTTAAAACTCCAGCTGTCACTCTGGATAAAGAGGGTGCTTCAGACCATTCCGCCTGAAGG